GGGAGTGATCCCCCTCGAGTACCTCCCGGGGGGAGACGGCGGACACCCTGGGACTCACGGGGCGGGAACGATACACCATCAACATCCCAGAGAACCTCAAACCACGAATGAAAGTCCAGGTCAAGGTGAGCCGGGGCCTCTCCACGCCAGGGCCAGCTCACAGGGACCCTGTGTTTGTAATCCATCTTGCTAGAAGGAAATCAGTGGGATTTGGAAGAAGAAAAAACAAAGGGTAGGACTAAATTAGCCTTAAGAGTTGTACTAGCCCCCTTTCTACCTGCCTCACAACATATCACATATTTCTGTTTATTCATAGTTGTCAGTTCCATTCATACCTCCAAGCCTTTCCCATTCCTCCCAGTTTCACTTAGCCCGGAGACTAGTGGTGAAAGCTCGGGGGCAGGACATGACCTAAAAAACACCTTTTTTATTATAAGAATGTGAACAACAGATGCTGTCCCCATCCGAGTCTTACCCCAAATGACAGCTCCCTGGGTGAGGAAGGGAGGAGATGCCCACGCCCAGGTCCCAGGGGGACTTAGACTCCCAGGCAGAGGCAGCTGCTGAGGTCTGTGTCCAGGGTGAGGAGCTGGGCCCAGTGCCTAAGGGACCCCAACAAAACCTGCTGACCTGAGCACCTCCTCTGCAGGGAGCCCTGAGAGGCTTGGAAACACCGTGCCCAAGGCCACAGTGACTACTGCCCAGAGAGGCCCTTTCTAACTCTCAGATGCCTCTCACGCCCATCACTCACGCTCTCAGTGCCTGCCCATGCGGATGAGTCACTGGGATCTTTTAAAATGCAGCTTCTGAATCAGCGGGTCTGGGGCGCTGCCCGTGGCGCTGGTGTGCGGACCCCTCCCCGCGGGGCTGACCTGGCAGCCGCGGGCACACGCTCCTCCTGACTGAGCTGCCTCCCTGCTCCCTCATGACTCTTCTTGGCTTCTTATTGTCGCAGCTGGATACCGGGAAGACCTTCCAGGCGGTCATGAGGTTTGACACCGACGTGGAGCTCACCTATTTCCACAACGGGGGCATCCTCAACTACATGATCCGCAAGATGGCCAAGTAGGCCCCGTCCCCTTGGAGACCTGCCCTGGGAGCTGCCCCGGAGCGTGTGCGGAGCCACCGGCCGCCGAGCCCCTGGTGCAGAAGCGAGGCCCCCGCCTCCACGCGGGGTGCTGCCTTGCAGACGGAGCACAGAGCACTGGTGTGGCGGTGCCCTTCCTCCAGGCACAGGCAGCAGTTCCTCCATTCTCTCTTTTCCTTCATCTTTGTATCTTTTTCTAGAATTTGGAGGCTAGCATGGTGGAATGTCAGTAGTGCCAGAAAGAACTGAGCGTGTCTTTAAAGTTACTGATCACAGAACATTGATTTTTTACTCTTAGCCTGTTAGTGTTCAGCTGGACACAAACAAGCGTTCTCAGAAGGAGCTCCCTGTCCTCTCTGTTTCTCGGTTCTCCTCGGTTCAATGCAACCTTCCCCTGCCTGTTACACCAGTGTTAACTGATGTGGGCAGATGGGGAACTTTTGCACACTTCAGATCACAATGGTGATTGCGACTCTCCCCCGCCCCCTTTCCTTCGGAGTGAATGGTCCGGACACCTTGTGGCCAGGTCAGAGGTAGAAACGTTTTGATTATGTAACTTTTGATCGATCACCATTAAAGAAATGTGAAGTTTTCTTTTACTATCTTTAAAATTTTTCCCCAGAAAATTTTGTTCATTTGTCCAGAGGATAACTTTGTTGGGAGGTGGTTTTGCAGAGAGACAGATATTTCTAATTTGAATAAAATTAAATCTATTTTCAAGGAAAACCTTTTGACTTTGGAATTGAATCCTGCTGTGTGTGTGGCTATAGTTTTGGGCTGTTTAGAACAGAGCGGATCTCAGGTGTTAGCTTCCCAAAGCCTGGCTGACCTTCAGGTTCTCCTGTTCGTACAGCCGCGGCAGTGACCTGCAGGTAACAAGGAGGGGCTGAGGAACCAGCGTGTTCTCTGCCCTGTTTGGGAGCAGACAAGCAGGTAGCAGGCAGGGTAGTGAGCAGGTCATAGCTTTGATTTTTGTGTCCTCTAGTTTTATCTGCTCATTTTCATGTCTGAAGTTGTTTCAGGGCACATGTCTCTTATTCTGTGCCAGCAGCAACAATAAAATATAGACTGAAGTGGCTCAAACATCAGAAACTTCTTTTCTTATAGTTCTGGAGGCTAGAAGCCCAAGATCAAGGTTCCAGCCAATTCATTTTTCTGGTAAAGTGCTCTGTCCTGGCTTGCAGACAGCCACCTTCTGCTGTGTGCTCCCATGGCCTTCGTCAGGGCAGGCACAGAGAGAGAAAGAACTAGCTCTCTGGTGTCTCTTCTTATAAGGGCACTAATCTTATCAGATTAGGGCCCCATCCTTACAATATCATTAAACCTTAATTACTTCCTTTGAGCTCCCATCTCCATAGAGGCACACTGTGGGGTAAGGGCTTCAATATATGAAATTTGGAGATAGACAAACATTCAGTCTATAACAGGGCAAACGTAGTCTAAAAGGGCCATTTTCAGCAGAAAAATCACCCAAATTGGAGCCAAAAGGACCTATTACAGCTAAAGGAGCAGACTTAGAAAGGTCTGGTACCTTAGCAGTATTCCCCCTAATATGCTTCCTGGTCAAACAGTTGGGCTTTCTGAGACGTCAGCTTTCTGAAAACCAAAGAGAACTCTAAAGTTCTGTCATCATCTGAACCAGCCCAGGCACTCCACCCTCCCCTCCATCAGCAGTAACAGAGTTACATCCAATTACTGTCTTTGGAGATTTTTCAAACCCTTTATCTAAAAGGTTTTACGAAAAAATATATATAGGAGACTAACCTGAGGATATTTTCTTTTTAAACTAAGGAAATATTTTGTTTTCATTGTAAAACTGACCCATAGCTCAAAAAGAACGTTGGGAAAACATAAAACAGTACCAAGGGAGAAAAATGGGAAGGTGCTCACTAAAAAACTTCTATCCTCAGTAAAATTGAGGAGGAGAATTAAGAAGTGCTAAAGAATTTCTTCTCACTGAAAATGTGGAAGAGGTGTTTTGAAATATCTTGGTCTCCAAACTTGAGGAAGTAATGTGTCCTAAAGTAAGTGATAATTTGTTGGTCCACTGAATTGTAAGGTTCATCTTTTTGAGTTAAAATATTCCTCACACCTCTGTCCAATATCAGCTCTCATTTTCTGAGCACTTGTTTCATACATCTCATTTTATCCCCCAAACTTCCCTGCGAGTTAAGTACCAATATTGTCCCAACTTTGCAGATGGGGAGACTGATCATTTAGAAGACAGAGTAACTATCTGAGGTCACACATCTTGTACCATATGTGGCAGAACTGGTATTGGAACCACTGATTCCCGTGGTAAAGCTCTCCCCCCAGCTCTGCAGTGCTCAGTGCTCACAGAGATGCTGAGGTGGCGATCTCTACAAAGGATCTGGAAAAAGTGTGTGGGTGTGCATGTGTACCTGCAGGTGTGTGCCTTGACTTTCCCCAATCTGGTTCCATGCTTCTGTGTTACAAAGAAAATTACAATAAAATGAAGGTCACTACCAGGAGGCCGAACTGAACAGGTGTGCCTCTCCAAACTCTACGTTATTACCCATCCCAACACCTACACAGCACAATGGGAGCTTTTCTCGGCGGACTCCGGATGTCAGAGAGAGAGAGAGAGATCTGAGAGAAAGACGAAGGGTGTTGTCCACAAGATGAACTGTCAACTAAAGAGCAATTCTCGCTCACTTTACCTTTTAGATCTGAAAACATAACTCTAGGTATTAGCACTAATAAAGTATATTTTAATCTCATTGAGATTAAAGCAGAATGAATTTGAAGTTCACTGTAGGACAAAATTTTAAGCATTAATGTACTGTTCTAATGCAACCCTCAGGGTGATATGATAACAGGTACCAACCATGCTCACATTCCACCTATTACTTATGGTCAGATTCTGACAGTAATCCTATATAATAAAAGGGTAATATGCAAATCGACCAAACAGCAAAACGACCGGTCTCTATGGTGCACACTGACCACCAGGGGGCAGACGCTCAACACAGGAGCTGCCCCCTAGTGGTCAGTGTGCTCCCACAGGGGAAGTGCCGCTCAGTCAGAAGCCGGGCTGATGGCTGGCTAGCACAGCGGCAGTGGTGGGAGCTTTTCCCGCCTCCACGGCAGCGCTAAGCCATCAGTTAGACATCCCTCGAGGACTCTCCGACTGCGAAAGGTCACAGGCTAGGCTGAGGGATCCCCCCCACCCCCAGTGCATGAATGTTGTGCACCGGACCTCTAGTGCAAGTAGAAAGACTTAACCTTTTCTTTACATGCTTCACCCCATGTCTAAGGCTACAAATGGAGTCATTCATCATGTTTTTCTTTGTATAGGTTTATTTTTTCTTTTTCAATTACAGCATTATTTCTAGTCAGAAGAAAGCCCTTGCTACCTTTTGTTCTTCCCTGCCTATCATAAAGTAGAGGAGGAATAAATGGTGATGGATGAAGACTTGACTCAGGGTGGTAAACACACAATACAGTGCACAGATGATGTGTTGTAGAACTGTGCACCCGAAACCTGTATAATTTTAACCAGTGTCACCCCAACAAAAAGGAGAAAAACAAAACAAAAAATGAAAAAAGAAAATAAAAATTTGATATCTGTGACTTAAAACTGTAATAAATCTGAGGATATGTAAACAAAGAGATCGGTGTATTCCTAAAATCCAACTTTGGTTCACTGAATCCTGCTCTCTAGGAAGCAGAGCTGTCAGAGCGTGGGCGCCAATGCAGGTGTTCACCTGCACATTAAACATGCAGGAGCTCACCTCAGCCTGGCCTCCGCGGGGTCTCCACGGTGCAGGGTGATCAGTGCCACATTATCAGAAATGCTGTTGTCAAGACAATCCAACATGAACCTCAGGATGCCACTGGGAGGGACTTAAACAGATCCTCAAGAGCTCTCTAGGAAATGGAAAGTGAGGGATATTTACACCAGAATGTAGGCCGAAATGAGAAGTGCTATAAGGAAGAGAGCTACAAAGCGTTATGGGGCATTCAAAAGAGACCGCTGCCAGCTGGGGGAATTCAGGGCAGGTGTATGGAGACAGCAGAAGAGGGGAAACAGATCATCAGTTGCAGCCCATGAGCAACTCCCCCGACAGGAACAAATCGTGACGTCAGGTTGGCTGAAGTGAATAATGAACAAAGGGGAAGAACGGGAAATAAGGTTGGAAAAAGAAGTGGGTGCTGGATATGAAAACTCTTTAACATCAAGAAAATTAGGGACCTGGCCAGCATGGCTCAGTGGTTGAGTGTTGACCTATGAACCAAGAGGTTATGGTTTGATTCCTGGTCAGGGCTCAAACCTCAGTGTGGGGTGTGCAGGAGGCAGCCGATTCAATGATTCTCTCTCATCATTGATGTTTCTATCTCCCTCTCTCTTTTCTTCTCTGAAATCAATAAAAATATTTTTTTTAAAAAAAAAAGAAAGAAAATTGGGGAACCACTGGAGTTTCTACACAGGGAAGTGACATGCTCAGAGCTGCTTCCCAGGAAAAGTAATGTGGCAGCTGTTGCTATGGCAATTGGAAGAAGGCAGAGAGACTGGTTAGGAGACTGTCTAGTACAGTGGTCGGCAAACTGCGGCTCGCGAGCCACATGTGGCTCTTTGGCCCCTTGAGTGTGGCTCTTCCTAAGCCTTAGGAATAGCCTAATTAAGTTAATAACAATGTACCTACCTATATAGTTTAAGTTTAAAAAATTTGACTCTCAAAAAAAATTTCAATTGTTGTACTGTTGATATTTGGCTCTGTTGACTAATGAGTTTGCCGACCACTGGTCTAGTAGTTCAAGTGGGACAGAAGAGCTCCTTGGAGTTTCCCTTCTGGAATACAGGGGCCCAGCAGTACCATAAGCACAAGCGGGAAAGGTTCACCCGTTGACTACCCAAACCTCGATCCAGTGGGAATTACCGCCCCCCATAAATATGTCAGTCAATGTTGGTTAAGGTACACAGAACTCAAATGGGGTATATGTTAGTGGACAAATATGTTAGTAGCCACCCAATCCGGACCAAGTAAGCCACCTGTAGGGCCAATGACACAGAGCCCTCTGTGCCGTTGGTCACACACCCAGCTATGTCTCAGTAAAGGAGAAAGGCCAGAATGACAGACACTCACAAATCAGACAAATTGGCAGCCATTGAAGAATGGCATCAAAACTCTCACCTACAGTTTGGATCATTGTGATGACCTTGCCCACAACCTCATACAGGATGATCGCCTTACTCTGGACAATGTTGATGCCTTCATCAGCACCTGAGGTGGCCATCAGAATCTTGTTATCTCCATTGCTTCTGCATCTAATACACATTCTGTTCTGAGAGTCATTTCTGGTCAGAGTCAGGGGGCATTACCCAACTCACTAGGGCAGTGATGGCGAACCTATGAGACGCGTGTCATTTTTTTGGTTGATTTTTCTTTGTTAAATGGCATTGAAATATATAAAATAAATATCAAAAATATAAGTCTTTGTTTTACTATGGTTGCAAATATCAAAAAATTTCTATATGTGACACGGCACCAGAGTTAAGTTAGGGTTTTTCAAAATGCTGACACACCGAGCTCAAAAGGTTCGCCATCACTGTTAAGTCCAGCTGTGAAAGTAAAGTAAAGACAAAAGCAAAATAAGTGTGAGAGAAGGCCAGACACCATAGGGTGTCTTGCAGACATCACAAATTTAACATCGCTAAAAAGCTAAACCAGCGATTCTCAACCTGTGGGTTGCGACCCCTTTGA